TGTGTGTGTGTGTGTGTGTGTGTGTGTGTGTGTATGTATATATACATGGGTGCTAAGTTGCTGAAGCTGGGTTTGAACTTGTGAACCTCTTGCTTCAGCCTCTAAAGTCACTGGGATTACTGTGCCTGGCTAAATGTATATTTTTAATGACTAGGATAAGAATTAAGAGACAACTGGTAAGGTGGCACATGCTTGTGATCCTAGGTATTCAGAATGCTGCAGCAGGAAGAATGCAAATTCAAGGCCAATCTCTTCAATTTAGCAAGATCCTCTATCAAAATATAATAAAAAAGAGCTGGGGATGTATCTCAGTGCTTGCCTAGCATGTATGAGACCCTGAGTTCAATTCTCAGTATAATAAAAACAACAAAAAGAGAGAGAGTAAAAGAAAAAAGGGGAAAAAAAGAGTTAAGGGACACTCAAGAGTTTTGAGGACAGACTTGTATTTGAGCCCTAGTCTGTCATTTAATAGCTGCATTAGGGACTCGGAGTGTAGCTCAGTGGTAGAGAGCTTGCCTAACATACCAGAGGCCCTGGGTTCCACTCCCAGTACTACCTGCACAAATAAAAAAAGCTATGTCACTTTAACACAATTATTGATCTTCTTTTATAAAAGTAYTCAGCTCAGAGGTATTTGTGATTTTAAACAGATAATGAATGAAAATCTTTATTATGTAGCAAGTCATAATCCATCCATACTTACTGAGCTTATACCATAAGCCAGACATTGTTCTAAATGCGAAATATCAATTAACTAATTTAGTCCTCACCTATGAGGTAAATTCTAATATTACTCTCATATTTCACACTCAATTTCATTACCTTGTGAATGAGACAAGGTAAACAAATACTTATTCAAGGTCACATGGCAGAAATAGTTTTCAAACCCATTCTGGCTTCAGCATCCTGTTCTTAAACAATATGCTATACTTCCACTCAATATGCCCCCAAATGTTAGTTTTTATAACATTGTAAACTACTATCAGAGGTGGTGATGAGCCCTTTCTGTGATGTCTACATTCCCCTGAATGACAGTTGCAGAACTAGGAAGATGAAGAGAGAAGTACCCAGTAAGGCGGTTTCGGATAATTTTGACGCTCATCACGGTCTCCCCCATGGTGGCAAAGGCTCTAGAAATGAAGTTCTCATCCATGTAGGGTTCCAGCTACATAAAAACAAGAGCGACGCTGCTCAGGCCCGCGTCCAGCTGCCCATCCCGGGGCACAGGGCCCCTACCTGCAAGCTGCAGACTGATGCAGGGCACGGGGCCCTCCTCTGCAGACGTAGGTCTCAACTCCTGACTCCTTCACTTCAAACCTGCCCGAGGAGTCAGGAGCCCCATCACTGCAGGCCTAGAACCAAGCTTCAACCCTTGGGTCCCGCCCCTTCTGTTCCCCCAAAGAACCTCCCTTTCCCTTCCAGGTACCCAGGAGGGGCCCCAGGACCACTCTCCCCCTCCCCCCGGACTTAGACGCTTCACTCTGACGCTGGGACCCGGTTCTGTGTCACCAAAGGGAACCCTCCTCGCGTTCACTTCCACCATGTCGGGATCCGAGGTCCCCTCCCCCTATATCCTCCTCCCTCGGGACACCGAGATTCCTCCTTCTCGGAGCCGGGGCGGCCGTCCTCACTCACGTCTCCCATCCACAGGCTGGCCGCCATCCCACACCCAGGCGGGCACCTCGCGGGCCTCCGGGGCGCGCGCGGGCGCCAATCCGCGCCTCGGGGACCGCCCAGGAGCTCGCGCCTGCTGCGCCTTTCGCGCACGCGCCACAGCTCCGGCTCGACTCGTTGTTCCGTTCCGGGTTTTCCTCGCGACCCCGGCGGAGGCCGAGCTTCCGGACCGCAGCGGGCGGAGCTCTGGCGAGACTGCTGAGGAGGCGGGTGGCCAACTGGCGGCGCCGCCAGCGAGCCGTGCGAGTTTGTTTTCGGTTTTGTGTAGTTAAAAAAACAAAAACAAACAAGACCACACACCTGTATAAGTGCATATATAATTTAAAAACTGACCTGTGCTTGTTGTAAAATATTGCAAATATAAGCGTTTGAAAGAGTGAAAGAACCCTCTATGGGAGCCAGGTTTCATTAAGTTTGGTTCCAAGAAGTGTGATCCTACACAGGCCGCTGCTGGGCTCCAGCTATATCCTCCCTCCAGGGTTCCTAGTCCTTGAAACGTGAGTTTCTGGTTGAAGCTCRACTAGGATTCTTCAGTCACACCCGAATTAGAGACTGATTGAATTGTCCTTTCAACAAGTCTCTAAGTCTTGTCCCTCTGCTTTCTTTCTTTTTTTTTTCCTAAGTTTTACTTTTTATTTGTTTTTTTTTTTTAATATTTATTTTTTAGTTCTCGGAGGACACAACATCTTTGTTGGTATGTGGTGCTGAGGATCGAACCCGGGCCGCACGCATGCCAGGCAAAGGCGCTACCGCTTGAGCCACATCCCCCAGCCCCTAAATTTTACTTTTTAGTTTGGCTGGACGCAATACATTGATTTTATTATTTTTATGTGGTGCTGAGGATCGAACCCAGGGCCTTGCACGTTCTTGGAGAACGCTCTACTACTGAGACACAACCCCAGCTGTGTCCTGCTTTCTTGAAGCCCACCACCCTACTCTAAAACGCCAGCGACTAATTCCTCCCAGAACAGTGACCTGCTTGGAGAAAGCCCTCAGTAAACATGGTTTAGACGACCAGATAATCTTGATAGTTTGATTTTTAAATTTATTATTATAGGGAATAATAATACATTATTATTATTAATATAATAATTAAGCACTTAAGCACTAAGCTATATCCTCAACCCTTTTTATTTATTTATTT